CGACATTGAAATACAACATAACCCGAACAATAGTCAAACGTGCCAGACATTATAATTACTCAATGAGCATTTGGACAGCAAATACACTCTTCTGATGTTAGGGAACATCGATTCTTGCAAATTATTCTTCCGTGTTTTTTTTCCTAAATTTTCGTTGCCATTTGATTCAATTAAATATTGCCAGTTACGTCATGGTAAGCATGGCAGCCGATTCAAAACCTGGCACCACGGCTCGTGAAAAATGTACTTTGAGAAGCAAAGCAAACATGGATAACTCGGAGTTAAATGCAGTCACGATAAATATGTATTGTGTCTCGAAAGAACGTTCCCTCTTGCTCGTTCTAGCTCAATATATAACAACAAATAGCCATGCCTTCAAGTACCAGAGTTATCAACCGAGGATTGAGGTGTTCAAAAATTCATTCTTTCCGAAAACTATCGCAGAGTGGAACTTGCTGTCACCAAGTACTGTAGAGGCACCATCATTAGATAGATATTCAAGGGTTAGGTGTAACAAGTCGTTCGGTGTAAAGTAGCCAGCTGCCGCCGCGCCGCGTGCCTGCGAAGCTGGTGCGTTACGCCGTAGGGTGGTTATACCGGCTGTACAGATACAGATATGTGAATCAACGATGCTTAGACACGTTCAAACTAGGCAAACCATGTCAAGGTGTGAAGACATGCGTCCCTCGGGAAGAAATTGACATAACCACACTTATGTTCGTCGAACGGCTTGACATTTACAATATCTCACATCCGCTTTGCGCCGTATCAAGACTTAAATCCATGTGGCACACTCAAAACCACCAACCAACCAACCAACCAACCAAGGTTTTCTGAAGTTTGGGAGCAGTCGTACTATATATAGGCCCCGTCTACCTTTGTATATGAATTTGAATCAAAGGTGACTTAAAGTTGAGTCAAACTTGAACCCCGAACAATCTCCGAACACCGCTGACATACTCCCGAACAACAGTCAAATATAAGACTTAAAGACATCCAATGTGATTTCAGGGCAGCAAAACTGGAAATATTCTGAATAAGACAATCTTTGTGATATTGACACATACTGCTTCACATTAGCACATTTAAATCGGCATTTCATACTTTGGGCATTCAAAACTGCAGTCCTTTATTTTCTGGGAGGTACCCTAAAAATCTGCCCAGTGCCCTCCCAGTAACCATTTTCCGTCAGAGACAGAGGTTTGGAAAGTTTTGCTCCATGGTTTTAACTTAGTATGTCGATGAATGACCAGGATATTGGCTTTGAAAAATCGGATTCACAAACCTTAAAAACTGCACTGGATGCCTTCAAGTACGTTTTCATGCATAATTCAACCAATTGCGCCCATTTGTTAACTAATTAAAGGCTATTGTATACCTTTTGTAATTTTCATTAGCATCTATCAGCATTGACTCATTTGAGTAACAGTTCATAATGACAAAGACGTCATGATTTTTACAGAGCCACGATCTGTATAGAAATTGTGACATGTTTTTGTCTGCATGGCTGGCGTTAACTTCATGAAAACCTAATTAGGCCACACCGATTTAATTTTATGGATGACATCCACGCGCGCATTGATTTTCGCCCGATCTCAAAAAAAAAAAGAAATCACGTATTCCGAGGCTCTGGCCTGGCTTTAGGCCTGGGTAGTGCATGGTGGTGATAACTCTGGTTGACGGCAGCCAGGCTACCGAAGCTCCAAGACTCAAGAACTCAGTACATACGTACAGCAGTGTCGATTCATATATTCCGCAAAAATCCAGCATGTGTCGGCCTGTCGTATACGTCGCTATGTAATGCGCCAAATTCACAATACCAGGTTTGTATTCCTGTGGTTTTGTAGCATTTTTATTTTTGGCCGGATTTTTATTTTTTTCGCCCGCGCGCACTAGTTTGGGGGTCTTCAGAGGATGTCATCCATAAAATTAAATCATTGTGGCCTTAATGGCTATAAAAAAAGCATCCCAGTGGAAATGATTGTATAGCTAGTCTCTTAATCCACACAGCCGAATCCCAGCACGGTAAAACTATTATCAACGCATGACGAACTTCAATATACATAAAGATAATCCCTAGACAGCTGTCGCTAGAAAAAAACAACGACTCAACTTCGTGTTGAATGAAAGAAAGAAACACTTCATTCACTTTGTCGGCCAGAGGCTTTACTAAAAACGCAAGAAAAATAACATATATCACGCCACAACTGTTTTATAAGGCTACAGCAAGTAAATTTTATGGATGACATCCTCCGCAGATTCCAAATCTAATGCGAGCGGGCGAAAAAAAGAAGTCGGGCCGAAAAAAAACAAGATTCCTACAATTTAAAATTTGGACTCAATCATTGTACAAATGGTTTTGATTCAGTAGGAACATCACATATACACAGCCAGCATCAGATATCACTGCATCAAAGTAAGAAACGAAACATTAAATCAGAGCCTTTTATTGTCTCCTCTCTTTATAGTTATCTGTCATCCACCTTCCGGCATGGCAAAAGACATCTTTGCCCATTTTCGTCATGTTAACAACTGTCAGAAGGCAACAAAATTACTTGTTTTTTTCTCCAAAATCAGGCGAAAATTAATGCGAGCGCTGATGTCATTCATAAAAATTACTTGCTGTGGCCTAATCTAACTTCATCAAAATTTGCTATACTCTACTTTTGCTACTTTTTTTAAAACGTCGTATCGAGGACTGAAGCTTCCATAATTCACTTTGTCAACGGAGTCATTGCGTGTGCTTAATTAGGCTTGGCGCTTAGCTGCAGCAGGATTTAATGTATACAAACATTCTAAGTAATGCATATAAAGAACGTCCCAGTGGTGGGTATAGTGAGCACCATATGGCCCGCAGTTCTTTACCGTGTGTCACTAGGGAACCAGGGGGGTGTAGAAGACGAATAGCTCGGTGTAAGGAAGACGATATTTGCGTTTCACCACTCCTAATCGTTACGTCAGAAGCACACGTCTATATATACGGTGTAAGACTATTATACTAAGTATATAGATACGAGTATCATCTCCTAATAGTTTTGCGTTTATCCATTTATGTGGTTTATGTGCTTTTACCGCATTAGTATGATCAAAACAGACATCCATGTAATTCATGTATTTCTGCTTGCTTGTAATGTACAGTTTTCGGAAAAATCCGTTTTTACCTTAACCAACAAAACTAGCTAGCTGTTGCTGCCGTGTAACGTAGGCAATATATTCATTAAACATGTATGCTTATTATTATTGCTACTATTGCCATTATCATTATTGTTGTTTTGTTAGTAACAACTTATTATTGGCAGTTACTATTTATTTTGAGCAAATCTTTTTGTGGACTCCACTATGTCTAGGTTATCATAATTTATGTTATGTTGTTTTAATTTGGACTGGGATTCACAAATGGAATCTTACTGTAGTAAAGCTGAAATGAATAAACAATTTTTCAATTTATTTGTTAGTACAGCTATTCTACTAAATATTCTTAATAATTCCTGGTTCCCTATAGCCTAGGTGTCATCTATTTACTGTGGCGTGCATAGTCTAGTGGTTAGTGACCCTCACAGTCGCAGTCCTTAGAACGGGACGTTAAGCTGAGGTCCACTGTTCATTTTGCTAGTCAGAATAAGACCTAGGGGAATTAATTTCCCCGGTACAATTACTGGTAACCTGTAAATACTGCACATAGCGTCTGTCTTCTCTGTAGAGTATAGCTCTCCAGTGAGCTAAAACTAGATCGAGATCCCTTTCCTATAACAGGGCTCCCGTACACACTATTTTATGCTTAGGCCACATTTCCAAACCGGGGCCCAGCCGGGCTGTTTGTATGAACGAAAAATTAACGCTTCATGATCATATTAAGAATGTACAAAAAATAGTGCCCATGGTTGTTATCAAAAACTTCTCTGTGTTTTGTTGTCTTTTATACTGTACTTTTCGTTCCAAAAAGCTGCCCGGCCGGGCCCCGTGTGGGAATTGTGACCTCAGCATTACGGAGCAAGCATTGGAGCCCTGGTGTACAAACAGGACGGCACCCAGGCCAGCTCCCTCGCCTCCTCCCGCGGGTTTGCCGGCCGTGAGGGCCCGCGGCGTGACCACGCCCCTGTTGCGCGTCCCTGAGTCGGACGTGACCGGCCACGGCACTCCTCCCGAGCACCCTGCCGGAATACTCAAACAGTCGCCCGCTTGGACGAGCAACGAGGAAGACTAGCAGCTCCCTTTATTGGCGCCCAGCGCCAGGTTTATTGGCAAGCGGTACCATCAGTGCCCCCCACCCCATCCTAAACCCTATCTGTATGCCCCGCCCTGATGCAGCACTATTCCACACAACCATCGCAAAAAAACATAACCCACTCGAGAGAAGTATTTAGAAATCCCCACCTATATCTACCTATCGTTAGCTAAAGCACGTTCCCCCGTTTTCCTTGTCCAGCCGTGCTATCGATGTCCTCAGGACAATTCCTGAATTCTAACGATCTCTCCACTTGTCTACCTGTACCCACTAGAGAACTCGTAGAGGCTTCGCTGTTGTTACGGGCGTGATGCTTTGTCTCGCCACTGTGGCTTTTGTCTGTGCCTTTATCAGAAGTGAGAGCACAGGCACATGAAACCCGCGTCTCGCTAAATGGCTTTCTTCATCGTAATCAATTTTCCTACTGTGTCGGGCGTCCAAGGTTTTTTTCTTCTTCTTCTCCCTCGCGTGGCGTTCAGCCAAAAAGCCCGGGCTCCTCCGCTATTACCAGATTTACCGGCTTGTACATAAACCCTGCATCACCATCTGGTATCATATCAGGCGGCCGCTCATTCTTACACCGGCAAAACGGGACCAAACGAGCGGGCTGTGTCACAGGCACGCCGCGCTTAGATAACGTTCTATTAACATCAAACACGATAAATCATGCAGTCGGTCATAAAGTCACAGCCTGCACGACACACATTTGCGTTAAGGGGACTTTTCTTTATCTCAGAAAGCGAGAGGTGTTGGTTTAATCGTAAGGAACACTTACTTATGGCTGCCGAGACGTCTTGCACAACACAGGTGAGCATCAAGATCCAACACGCCGCACAGGTGGGGACCTTCATCCTCCTGCAACTCCGCACAGGTGCGTCCTACCTGCCGCAGGTGTCACGCAAATTCCACAGGTGCCAACAACGTACCACAACAACAACAACACGAAACGAAAAGCGGGGGTTGGAAAGTTGCAGTTCCTGGAATGTGGGTCGTCAGGCGCACCTGGGCTCCGCGGCGCGCGCCATGTTATTCCAGACGCTGCTCATTCCACAACAACAATCGATTCTCCGGGAATTTGCATTCCCCCCGCGTCACGTGACCGGCGTGCATGCAGCCCCCACTTTCACGGGGAGCCATCAGGCGAGCACTCTCACTTTCTCCATTGTTCCCGTTTGGGTTTAACGACAGTGCATACGTATACCACCAACCACACCACCTGAGTCTACAGATTTCTTCTAGAAAAAAACACCACCACCCAAAATCTAAAATAGACTGAATGAGACCGAATTAAATCGGCACGGGGCTCGCAATATAGACGTTAATCTAGTGGGCGGTAGATGAATTTTGATAGTGAGGGGCAGAATCGACCAAAAGCGAGACAATTACGACTGCGAGTCACATTTGTGGTTACGGCTCTCCGTAATGATAAATATTCAATCGGAGTCTCGGGGGGATCGTCTGGAAACATATAGACGTTACCTGTTTCCTATACGATATTCCTCTCAATCAGATATTAAGGTAGACATAACGAACGTACATTGTTTATGTTATTGGATAAATATATAAGGGATTATTTTTACTATAAATGAACTAGAAAAGCTGTAAAAGACGTTGTATATGAGTACCAAAATTTAATGAAGTAAAAGCAAAGATAATGTTATTTTTTAAACACCCACAAGTAAAAGGTAGAATATCGAAGCCTTGGGAAAACAAACTCATTTCCTTTGTCGTGACCTCCTGAACCTGTGAGTCGCGCCCCGGTATCATCTGTGTCAAGAGCGCGGCGCATTTTCTCCTAGATGAAACCCAATGACCGAGCGACAATTCATCACTCCTACCTGTGCCGGGATCGCAGCAGCTAGCCTGCAGGGCGTTTTGTCGTGTGATACAGAAGTCTGCACTGTGTGGAACTCCCGTACACAGTCAATCTATGCATGCATGGATTAGTAGATTGTCCTATGTGCTATCGTGGTGCAGAAGGACGACAATGAATGTTTAAAAAACGCATTTAGCTAGCCTTCAGGGCGCTTTGTCGTGTGATGCAGACGTCACTCTGCACTGTGTTGTACACTCGTACAGAGTCAATCTATGGATTAGTAGATTGTTCTATGTGCTATCGTGGTGCAGAAGGACGACATGTTAAATGTTAGAAAAACGCATTTAGCTCGCCTGTAGGACGTTTTGTTGGGAGATGTATTCGTCTGTACTGTGTGGTACTCCCATAAACAGACAGAAATACTTTTATATTCAGTCTATGAATTAGTAGATTGTCCTTTAGAAGACGACAATGCTTGTTTCAAAAACCACTGCATTAGCTAGCCTTCAGGGCGTTTTGTCGTGTGATACAGACGTCTGTGCTGTATATACTCCCATACATAGACAGAGAAATACTTTTCCATTTAGTCTATGGATGAGTAGATTGCCATTTAGAAGACGACAATGATTGTTTCAAAAACCCCGCATTTAGCTAGCCTGCAGGACGTCTTGTAGGGAGATGAAAACGTCTGTACTGTACTGTGTAGTACGCCCGTACATAGACAGAAATACTTTTACATTCAGTCTATGGAGTCGTAGATAGCCATTTAGAATGACGACAATGACTGTAAAAAATGAATTACGTTTTGTAAGGAGACGTCTGAGGAAGATGTCATCCATAAAATTTACTTGCTGTGGCCATATGGTAATGTCTCCGACACCCAGCCCCACAACGTGATTCACAGGCCCTCGGCAAAATACGGTCAAACGTCTGTGCGCTATCAGAGTTCAAGAGACTGACACAATTACATTCAAAAGGTTGAAAATTGCTGCGCAGTTAGTACATACAGTCGTCCTTGTAACTGTAGACGGATATCAACCCAGACACTTTAATTAATTTAGAGTGTGCAGCGGCAAAAATGTAGCTGCTAGTTGATGGATACAACTGATTAGTATACCATAGCTATTAGTCATCTTAACTAAGAGCTGCCATATAATGTGTCCGTTCTAGGACGAGCTTCGCCGCCTCTGGCGGGACCACGTCGGCATTCAGCCGAGATACGCTGGGAGGGAGGCACCAGCAAGCAGGTCGTTGACCTCTGACATTAATAGCACGCTGCCTGGCGTGTTTTTATCAAACAACAATGAATGCAGTTTCGGAGAATCGTGACCGGGCACGGTTTGAAAGGAATGTATGGCACGTGGACCAGATGTGATGAATGCGAGTTACCCGAATCGTGGTTCGGGTGGTTTCATATGAACAAGGCCTAAAAGGCTCCATTCCCACTAGGACAAAATTGTCCAGATCGAGCCGAATTGATTCGGTTTGATCCCGCTTGGAGCCGGATTGAGCCGGATCAAAGCGACTCAATTCGGTTCGATCCGAACAATTTTATCCTAGTGGGAATGGGACCAATGTGTGTAAACGTGGCTGATCAACTGTTTGGTTTTTGCTCTCTTTCATGTGTACGATAGTTCTAAAAAGGAGGGCCAAGGGTAGATTGTAGCAACTGTTTGAAATAATCTGTTTCAGTTAGTCTCGTAGTGAATATACTGACTTATAAAATGTATTTCATTCTCCACTGCTTTCATTGGGCAATATTTCCAAAAGTTCTCGTAGACAGGTATCGTACTGCTAAACACTCCTGAAAACAAGTAGGGTTGCAATGGTATTAATATAATACACATTTATGTCGCCATATTGTTTGTTCCCATTGTTTTTGTTGTAAGTGAAACTGTTAACGTTTATGATTGGAAAGTCAGTCCCATGCTATCAATAAAGTAATAAACTCTGATTGGGAAAAAGGGCCTAATTTGACTAGTGGGAAATCTAACCTTACTTAATCACCTAAAATACACTCATGGAAATGGAAATTCAACCTCTTTAAATGAAGAATAAATACGGTATCATTAAAATCATCGTTTAGGACTAAATGATTTTCGAATCGAGAAAAAAATGTTAAAATCATTGGATATTACACGTATATTGAATAGAAAGATGTAACATTAACATCTTTCCTTTGTTATTGTATGTTGGTATGGAATTTTGCAAAACTGAGTGTAGGCTACTATGTGTCGTATATTATAGCTGATGGCATGAATTGGACCCCAAGGAACAATACACTTAGAGAACGCATTCCTCAAATCTCTAAAAAGCAGCAATAACGTTTTCAGCACTAAGGACGGGGACTATATCTTTTCACAATGAATTGACATTGTCTCCAGTTATACCCAGGAGGTCAAAAACACCCAAAAAACTACTTTCATACATTTTCTTCTACCCTGTGGTATAAATCGCACCATTTTCAGTACCAGGGACGGCGATATTCCGAAAGAAAAAAAAAACTACTTTCATACATTTTCTTCTACACTGTGGAAATAATGGCACCATTTTCAGCACCATATTCCAAAAGAAATAAAAAAAAAACCTTCTTTCATACATTTTCTTCTAACCTGTGGTAATAATCGCACCATTTTCAGTACCAGGGACGACGAAATTCCGAAAGAAAAAAATACTTTCATACATTTTCTTCTAACTTGTGGTAATAATCGTACCATTTTTAGTACCAGGGTCGGCGATATTCCGAAAGAAAAAAAAAAGACTTCTTTCATACACTTTCTACTACCCTCTGGTAACAATCACACCATTTTCAGCACCAGAGACGGCGATGTTCCGAACGAAAAAAAATATCTTCATACATTTTTTTTCTAACCTATGATAATAATCACATCATTTTCAGTACCAGGGACGGCGATGTTCCGAAAGAAAAAAAAAACAAACTTTCATACATTTTCTTCTACCCTGTGGTAATAATCGCACCATTTTCAGTACCAGGGACGACGATATTCCGAAAGAAAAAAAAACTACTTTCATACATTTTCTTCTACCCTGTGGTAATAATCACATCATTTTCAGTACCAGGGACGGCGATATTCCGAAAGAAAAAAAACTACTTTCATACATTTTTTTCTTCTACCCTGTGGTAACAATCGCATCATTTTCAGTACCAGGGACGGCGATATTCCGAAAGCACAAACTACTTTTATACATTTTCTTCTAACCTATGATAATGAGTGCGCCATTTTCAGTACCAGGGACGGCGATATTCCGAAAAAAAGATAAAAAAACTTTCATACATTTTCTTCTAACCTGTAATAATCGCACAATTTTCAGTACTAGGGACGGTGATACCCTGAAAGAACAGAAGAACTACATTCATACTTCAAATTTTGACTAGTTGGATGAAATGTGAAATTAGACATTCTAATCTTCCCACTCGCTGTTACGTCCTCGGCAAATGAAATTAATTCTGAACGAATCTTACTTATCCCTCCTCTGATAATGAGTTACTTTATGAGCCACGTAAAGTGCTTTAAAAGCCTGAGGCATGATGATGCTTACGTAAGTAGAGTAGTCGGTGGATTTGCTTGATTGCGTAAATTATTCAAAGCAAGTGCCGCAGCCACAAATGACATTTTATGCGGGGGCTGATCCAAAACTGCTCGCGGTGGGTCGGATCTCGGTTTTCTCAGGCTCTCTGCAAAATGCTTTGCGGGGTCGTGTGCCGTAGTGGCAGCGTGCTCGACTCGGAACCAAGAGGTCCAGGGTTCGAGTCCTGACATGCCACCGATCTTGTGCTCTTGGGAAAGGCACTTTACACGAATTTCCCGTGCATTGTCTTGTCCTGTATTCGTCCTCTGCGTTGGTGGCGGCATAAAATAAGTTGATATAACTTGAGTGTGCTGTCACCATGTCTGGTCATGAAATGTCAGTTGGCATTTAAAAAAATGCTTTGGAGCACTATCCATCTCCGTTCACAACAAAGAAAGAAGAGAAAGAAAGTGATCTCGAATCAGTTTTAGCTCACTGAAAAGCTAATCTCCCACTGGTCATGACAGAGAAGACTGACAATATGTACAGTACTTACAGGTCCATTGTACCGGGGAAATTCCCCTAGCTCTTTTCGACAAGCACAATGAACAGTGGACCACGGTGTAATGTCCCCTAGGCCTCGATATCAAGTAGCGTGCATGTCGGGTGAGTGACAACAGCCGGGATTCAAACT